ATGATTTCACGGGTAGGTTGTACGAAATTTGGATCAGGTCGTGTGATGATAGAAATGGTACGGGGTGTTGAGAGGATGATAGGATTTTAAGGGGTGAATCAGAGATCTAACCAGGTTTCAGAGAACTGTGTGTGTGAGTGAGAGAATAAGGAACAAGATAAAGATTAAGGGAAAATATTAGATCAGTAAGGAAGTATTTTACAGAAGATTCTGAGTGCATATTTATATTAAAATCACCGGAGATGATGACATTGGGGTAAGTGGAAAGTCAACCAGTTTGACATTGGAGGATTCAAAGATATGGTCGAATGGAAAACGAGGAGGGGGTTAGACTGCGACATATAATAAACGAGAGGAGATAGAAAAAATTTTGACTAACAAATATTTGATGTGAGGGAAGTCTTGAGAGGGATACTGTAAAAGGATTTTGGCCTTAAGACTTTCATGTATATATAGTCCAACACCACCTCCCATGGGATCAGATCTGTCATAAAGGAAGGAAAGAGTGATTGGGAAGGGAAATTTGTGAGGAAGGAATAATAGGTTTCAGATACTGCTATTGTATGATAAGAATTATCCAGGAAATATTTCTGGGATTCATCATAGTGTGCATTAAGGGATTGTGCATTGACGTGACAGGAGTTTAGGATATTAGTCATGACTGGGTTGTTGGGAAGTAGAGTTTTATGGAAAAGTATCAAGGATGGAGAATAGGATATAACAATTTTTTAAACAGAATATTCATTTTTGACATAGCTGCAGAAAGATACACTGACAGGCAAAACATTTTACCCACTTGATTTTTCATGTTTTCATCTAAAAATATTTCTGCTTTGGATTGGTCTATTGTTTTTAATGAATAAATAGGCAATCTTTTTGTTTGTTTTCAATTAGGAATGTTAATATAGAGGAAAATAACCCTTAATCCTTAATTCAATGAAATGATTCTAGATTCCAATGTTTACTTTCTATGGAATCAAAATGTTTATTCAGTATCATTAGTTCAGTGCCGTTTCTTGCAGCACATTTCTTAGTCTCCGGCTTTTTCAATATCAAGTTTAAAAATGCCTCTTAGTGCTGAGGATGTTGCGCGTGGTGTGGCACTTATTGATGATGAACGTTCCATTAGATATGCAGCTAATGCCATCGGAGTTCCATATGAAACTTTACGAGACGCCGTCTGGCGTTTTCGGGAAACTGGTTCTTACAATAGATATGCAGCCTGTAATTTTTCCCAGAGCCAACCTTTCCAACGTGGTTCCTTAATGGTGTGGGCTGGGATTTCGCGGCACAGAATTCTTTGTTGTTATGGGATAACCTCGGAAGACGACTAAGAGCGCATGCAACACTTCCTGATGCACTGCAGGACCTTGAAAGGGCTCTTCGGGAGGAATGGGCTATCCTCCAGCAAAGGGACATTTCCCGACTGGTGGAAAGTATGCCGAGGCGTCTTCAAGAAGTAGTGAAGGCAAGAGGAGGAAACATGGCTACTAAACGATGATGTAATTAATTTCTTTTAGAATAATAATGGTTCGTTTTTCAATTTTTTTTTCTCTAATCTTTCTTATCCAATCACATTTTGATTATTAAAGGTAAAAAAGATTATAAAATTCCATAAATACTAAGTATTATCTACAAATACCATGTATTATATAAAAATATAACTTTACAGAAATATTTTTAGATAAAAACTTGGAAAAATCAAGTGGGTGGAATTTTTTGCCTCTCAGTGTATAAAAATAAAATAAATGTTGAAAAGAACAGATTAAAATCACAGAAATTCGAATAAAAAATTATATGCAAGATTCCTTTACGATGTAAGAAAATATGGATATGGCTTTGATTAAAATAAATCAAAAGAAAAAAACAGATTGTCAAATGAAATTATTACTAAAATGAAAATAGAAAATAAAAAATAATGAAATAAAAATATTTTGGGTGAGAACAAATAAAATTACTACAAACTTTAAGATATCTTCTTCTTCTTCTTAATCATTTTATGGTGTGAGGAGCCTTCTTGTAGAGCCGAATCCACAACTCTCGATCCTGAGCCAACTGCCGCCTCCTCCAGTCAATATCCCTTTGACAAATACCTCCTTGACTCTGACCTCCTAGGTCTTCCTCGGCCTTCCCTGAGGTCTTCTTCCCTCCTCTTTACTTTCCAATGCTATCCTGGCCATTCGATTCTCTGGCATTCGAGAGACATGACCAAACCATCTCAAACGATTTTCCTCCATCACCATCACCGTTTCGGCTGATCTTACATTTAGATTTTTCTGTATTATGGAGTTTTTTTATGCGATTTTAGGATATCTATATACAAAATTCAACTTAATACATCCAAGTCGCTAGGTTTCCCTATGATTACCCCCAGATATCTGTCTGACTGTCCGCACCAGACTTTACCCCCACTAAACCAGACGTATTTTATTCTCGCTGTCATCTTTTTTTGTCTAGCTAACCAGTAGAGATGCTTATTGGTGGAGGTTATGGCTTCGCTCACGTACACTTGGTGCGAGAAGTCCCTCTTCATTCTTCTCTGCTGCAGTATCTCGTCTCTTATGATCAGCCTAACAAATCTAGCTATAGTAGGTTCTGCTTAGGCTTGAGTCTCATTACGTGATCCAAATCGTCTGGATTCAACTTGACGCCCAGACCCGCTCCGACACTGAGGATGGTGCCAGTCATGGTTTGGCCCGGTTTCTCTGGAATTCCTCTCATTTCCATTATATTCTTTAACTGACTTTGCTCAGCAAAATTTAAACGGCTTTTCAGATCTGATATTTTCTTCTTTAGTGTGTTGTTTTCGAGCGATAATTTCTCTGTTTTTTTTTTGCTCTTCCAGAAGGGTTTCTATTTTTAGTAACTGTTCCGTAGTTTCAAATGACAGTTCTGACTGTTTTTTGAGGTTATCTTTTATGTCCTTTAACTCCTCGATGCCCTGAAGCTTGGTTTTCATCTCTCTAACCTTCTCGGCCAGGCCCCTGAGTAGTGTAATCATTGTACTATGTTCAGATGCTGGTACTGTACACGATTCACAATCGGTACATATCCATTTTTTACTGATTTACTTGAAGCCTTCTTAGTCCGAGATATCAATTTTCATGCATTTAGAATGCATTCATGGAATAAATTTGTACATAAAGTACAGGCTAATTTAGCTTTATCTTCTCAGGGCTACCGATTTACTACACGTTTTGCAATTCACAATTTTAATGACAATTTCTATTAATTTAAATTATCGTAATTCAATTAGAGAGAGCTGAATAAAAATAATAATATTAGCACACCTGTTTGTTTGGGTGTAAGCTGCTGGGATTTAGGTGATGCCTGATAAGCTGTGCCTATCACTCCAACTCCTCCGTCTTTGTCACAAACACTTGGTTTTGTTAATATTTACGATAATATTAATTAAGATAAAACTTAATTTTAGCACTGTACAATTGTCTATAAACAGTACTAAATATTGGTGTTTTATTTTTTTAACAGTAATGTCTATAGTAACTATTATATTGATATATTTAGCAAGAAGCGCACAATTGAGGTCTTGACTGAACGAGTTATTATTTAAGACTGATTATATATAGCTAATTCTAATTCTAATTATTTATATTAGTTTCTTTTTTATACTTTTAAATTAGTTCTGCAATGCATGATCTCTCATTTTTATTTTTGTATTTACATTCTATTTCTATGTACAGTCTCATTTTTATTTTGTATTTGAATTATACTTCTATCTATAATTTCTTAATTCTATCTCTTATGTATATGTAAATACTTATAATTAATTAGTTCATAGATATTATATTTTTTCTTATATTCTTCAATAATTGTTACCATTTATTTACTTCAGTTTAGGAGCCTGGTTATTTAGTTATATATTGTTAACTCTGTTTATATAGTTTATTGTTCTTAATATTTCTATGTACTTTCTATTCACACTGTTTATAATTTTAATAAGTTTATTCACGTTGTTCATAATTTTTATCTAAATATCATGTAACTTCCATATTTTTCTATATCCTTTATTATCTTGTTCGTTCTAGCCCTGAAGAAGACCTGCATAGTCAAGTCAAAACAAGGCTTGAAATAAAATATTTTTTTCACTATTTTAGTCTTCTTATGACCACCACCCTGGACCATCTACTTCCTCAAAAATATACAATGGTCAATCAAGTATTCAAAAATAAATAACAGAAATTTTGTTTGAAATTATATGCATTTTTTTTTTTCTCGGCCCCAGGGCCCGGCCCATCAGAAAGAACAGCGGGATATATGTATCATATTTTTGATCTAGTATCACCAATTGGTTATATCGGTGACCCACAGACTGTATTCTCTTGTAAGTTAAAAGACAAGAACAATAACCCTTCAGTCTTAGGCCAAAGAGGTGGCAGTGAATGTTGAATGTTTGGATGTTTTGCTGGCTTCTTTTTGGTTACATAATAAATGTTTCTTATTCTAAATTTGATCAACTTGACTGTTTATTGCTCAGTATGAAGTTTTCATCTTGAGAACTCTATACTATGGGACAGGATTCCTGCCTCTTCTTGTTTTATGGCTGCTTTATTGATTGTTCTTGGCTTATTTAAAATGAGGAGTGTATAAATTTTATATGGCATTTCTTTATTGGATTTTGTTACTTTATAAGCTGTCTTATTATAAAATAAGATGGGTTTTCATCATGTTTGAATAATGATCATCCCATTTGATGGTCTAATTTTGGAGGTTTTTATTGAGTAAAAAAAAATGTTTTATCTCATTTGTGTTCATCTCCTTTTTGCATTGATAAAATTCTTTAGATTATGTAAATTTTATAAACTACATCCTTGTGTGTTTACTATTACAACCCTTTGGATATTTTTAAGTGTTATAAAATCGTGTGTCTAATGAGGATTATTAATTTATGGAACAACATGGAATTGAATTTTTTGTATTTGTATTTTTTAATTTTCTCATATATATGAGTCTCATATTTTGTTGTTTCAATTACCTTTTAGTGTGTGAATATATTACTTCAGAAGGCAGTGAACTCATACTTAAGCGTTTGGAAGTACTGTGTGAAGGAAAGTGTGAAGATTTAGCTCTGAAATTAGCAGCTACTCTTTTAAAACATCTCAATCATTGTAATGAATTCAAAAAGAATGACATTGATCATATCACTGATATTTTGTTAATTTTATTGTTTCGATTTGGCCACAATCAAGAAATTATTGAGAAGGTATGCATATTAGTTTTTTAATTAGAATGTTGTAGATATAGTACAAATTATGGTACTTGTGAGCGATGCGGCCTCTATGGACTGCTATCTGCAGTTATCTTGTTATTTAAAGTGTTGTTATTTATATTTCTTATTATTAAATTACTATATTATTATATTTATATTTCTTATTAATGTATATATGTATATATATACATATATATTAATTAATTAGAAACAGGCAAAAAAGAGGCAACACCAAATATATTTATATTCCTTATTATATGAGAGTCTAATTTCATATGAAGATAGGGATTATCAGTGCCTTATAACAATTATCAGTGCTCAGGTTATAAACATTTAATAATAAGAAATGTAAATAAATAAATATAAATATAAATGTCGCTCACAAGTACCCAAAATATATTAATTTTTTTACCTAGCTTGTTATATACTTGTAAGAATGATTAAGTAAATAATTTATATCTGTATACCCTTTTGGGAAATTATTTGATTAGTTTTATTTTATTTTTGAATATACATGTTGGTTATGGGTGTTAAAGATATATATATATATATATATATATATATATATATATATATATATGTTTTCTTTTGTCATTACAAACGATTTAGATCTTTTGCAGCCTTAATAAGCCTGCTCCATCTTTGTCTGTCCTGGGCTATTTCTTTCCATATATCTGCATGTAGCTCTATTGTATCTTTGTTGATTCTATCTATCCACCTGATTTTTGGCTTTCCACTTGGTCTTTAGCCTTCTATTGAAGTATTCATTGTTACGTAGAGGCTTCCAGATGGATTGCTATGAGCTAAATGTCCCGTCGAACTTAACCTACATGCCTTTATATCATGGGATATTGATTGACCAGTTTTTATAAGCAGTTCTTTATTGGTCTTTCTTCTTCTTGAGTTAGTACTCTGATCCCAGATCGCTCCAGTTATCGTGCGGAGGATTTTTCTCAAATCTTTCAACACTTTTTTCTAGGGTGCTGGTTAATTTCAGGTCTCACAACCATATATTAGAACTGGCTTTATCATACCATTGTATTGTTGAAGGAAGTTAGTTGACTGTTCTACATATCATGGATGATAAATAGTCACGACGCAGTCATTTTAAAGATTTTTTATTGGTGTCAGCGTTTCAACCCAAGCATGTGGGTCATCATCTGGGCTGAAAATTGTTTAATAAAATCAGAGATATAATATTATAGGATAGATAATGGTTAATAATGAAAAAATAGTGATAAATGATACATGAATAGACAAATGAAATATGTAATAAGTTATACAAACTAAAAAGATGTAGAAGAAATACAACAACATTGCATGGCTGCTCAACTGTGTTCAGTTGCTAAATAACACAGCATACTCATCAATCAATAGATAATACTGTAAAAAATATAAGAGAGAGTTAGATTGGAACATTAGAGTACATATCAGACATGCCAAGAATGATTTATGGAATCAAATATGTGAAGGCCTAGATCAATATATGTGGTGACGGAGGATTCAAAACGAGTCTAAAATAATTTGTTTCTGTCATAGTCTGCATCTGCTCCCTTCCAATACAGACCCTCTGCATGAAATTACTTGTATTAAGAGCGATGCTTCCCCTGCTTTTGAACCATAGCACTTTAATTGAGTATTCTCTCTCGTCGAATTCATCTCTGTACTTTTCCTTCAGGTAAGATATACATTTCATATAAATTTCCTCCTCTGCCTGTATTTTGAAGTCCTGATTCTGATCGTTGGTTTCAAATCTGATCATGGGATCCACTATGGGTGCCTCCTTTTCCATCACATTGAATACCAAGATGTCAATGAACCTTGTTGAGCCTTCTGTATCTAGGCAATAAACTTGGAGGAAACATTTATAGTTCTTCATTTCAAGGAATTCGGCTATACGATGCTTTATATTATTGAGCTGGTGGGTGAGTAGGAGCATGTTATACGGACAATTTCCCCACACATGAGCTGTGGTTTCTGACTCTCAGTCACATTTGCGGTAAGTTCTTATAATCAATTTATAAGAAATTTACAATAATATTTATTCTTACTAACTGTGTTTCGAGCACTGAAGTTATTCAAGTACTGGCCCTTAGGTATGTAAGTAAAAGGGTCGCTGAAGAATTTTCCGGATGTGCCTTTTAGATAGCAAAGTCAGAAGGTGGGAGGGGGGGCTAACATTTTTGTTTGTGGAATGGAAATCATTTGGTAAATACAATATTCAAGGAAACATGTGTACCATAGCTATGTTGTTTTTTAGAGTTAAACAAATTATATCTATTAGCGTGTAATGAAATAAAAAAATAATAAGAGATGATAGACAATACAAACATAAAACAAGTGAAGGTATACAATAGTTTAACAATTGATGTTTACAATATAGACAATTGTAATAAATTAAAATGACTGGTAGTTAATGCAATATATATTTTACAATATTTTTGATGGAATTTGTAGAACAGAAAAATATAAATATAAATTTTATTGGTTGATTGGAATTAGGTTTTTTATCATGCGATCAGGAAAGTTGTTTGATTACAGGATATTGAAATGAAATGAAAATATATTTTATTATTCTGGGACAGTTGTCCCTTTAGAACAAATTATAAGTACTGAATACATGTATTAGTGGTCATAAATAGAGTAAATATTTACAATATTGGTTATTTAAAAGTAAAAATACAAACGAAGAAAGAGAAAAAGACATAAAAAGCGTACAAATACATACATAATAAGCGAACATAATACAAACAGAGAAAACTAAAATAACAGAAATATTTTCAGGGGTTACTTAGATAGATCTCTTAGGTATATTTCGTAATCAGGCTTCGATCGTAATCAGGTGTTTAAAGAGGAGAGGTGTGAAAGAGGAAACTGATTGTGCCTGTCGAATATCAGCAGGGATGGAATTCCAGAAGGAGGCGGCTTGAATTGCAAATGATTTGTCAAACGCAGCAGTTTGGTGAGGAGGGGGATAGAGGTCGGAAGTGCGGGATCTAGTGATACAGGATTGGATTGAGTATTTAAATTGTAAGCTGTGAAAACTATGGGAGGGTTTGATGAGTTCTAATGATCTGGTACACAAAGGTAGCTAGAAAGTACTGACGGCGATAGGATGTATAGAGCCACTTCAACTCTGTATAATACTGGCTAATATACCTATCTCTTGAAATTCCTAAAACAAAACGTAATGCGCAATTCATTAGGCATTTAAGTTTGCCCTCGAAATCTCCCGATAGTCCACTGCACACCATACAGCCATAGTCGAAGTGGGGGAAACCAAGAGAGGAAACTAGGAGTTGACGGGACTTATATGGAAGGAGATAACGTAGGCGATTTAACTGTTTTAGAGTGGAGATAGTGCAACGGGAAATTTAGGAGATGTGTGGTTTCCAGGAGAGGGTTTGATCAAAAGTAACATCTAGTTTTTTAACGTTAGTTATGGAATAAGATAGGTGAGTTGTTCAGGAGAAGATTGAGAGATACCGGGAAGGATTTGAGGAGTGCGGGGGATCCAATCAAGATGGCTTTCGTTTTGTTTTCTCGGTGTTCAGGTTCGCCTGTTGAGGTTTGACCATTCACTTATTCTCTTAATATGAGGAATCAGTCGGATTGAAGGAGAGGTAAATCTGAACGTCATCAGCATATAGGTGGTATTTACAGTGCAGGATTGAGGATGTGAGGTCATTGTCGGAAAAAAAAGAAGTGGATCAGGATTAAAAGAGGAAAACATGGGAGGAGTTCTGGTTTGCGAAAGGGCAGGAGACAAAGTGAGCGTTGAGGTTATCAGCAGAAACGGAAATGGACTGGGACTGAGGTGTATTACCCATGATCAGTTTTCTGTGTTATTGTGTAGTTTAGGTAGGTTATTGTGATTCAGATAACATTAGACAACGGTGAATCAGGGTTTTACCAATTGGTGGATAAGGCGTTCAACTCATACCACCCTCGACTCTGTTTTACCATTGAAATGGAATCAAACAATTCCCTCACTTTTCTCGATCACATTTCCAGAAATAATGATAATACTTTATCCACCAATTGGTACCCCAAACCTGCTTACTCCGGCTGCCTCCTACATTATTTGTCCCAGCATCCTTACCACCAAAAACTCAGTGTAGCTAAAAAGTTGATTCACCACTCTCCAACGTTATCTGACTCACAATTCCATGACGATCCTGATATCAAATGACTTTCCTGAGCAGATAATAAAAAATCAATCCAAATCTCACCTTCACCAGTCTCCCACCAACTGCTCTCAATTCGCCAATACAGATCAATTCAATACATCCCAGTCCTCTCTCAAAAAGTCTTTAACTTAAAAATTCCCTCACTTACTCATAGTTTTTAAAAATAACAGTAAATTAAGAAATTTATACACCAAACTCTTTCTGTGGGTATTCTGTTCTGCTCCTACTACAATCAAATATAGTATATTGTATCTCATGCTCTAGTCCAAGCTGCAATTCTTCCTATATAGGTGAAACAAAAAATTATCTCAAAAAAACGAATATACCAACATCAATTCAGTATCTCCACATGCAATCCTATATAGGTGAAACAAAAAATTATCTCAAAAAACAAATATATCAACACCAATTCAGTATCTGCATAGGCAATTCGTTCACCTTGAAATTTCCACCAAAAACACCTACTTTCAGGAGCTATATTTAGTAATTTGGAATAAAATAATCCAGTAAACCACAAAATAGATAAAGAAAAGATCTGGAAAACATATTCTAACATTTTCCGCCTCCGCAAACAATAGTTCTAAACAAAAGTTTTCATTTTCCTTGTCAATCTACAGATGTAACTACTCCTACGTTTATCATATATATGTATGTATGTATGTATGTGTTATATATATATATATATATATATATATATATATATATATATATTCTTATAAACAGCCTCTGTTTCCCTTTTTTATGTAGAGTTGAAGTGGCTTTATCCTTCCTTCCGTCGTAAGTATTTCCTGCCATCCTTCCTCTTTCAAGTCATCCAATCCCACCGACCTTCATACATCTCCGAGCTCCTCCAATTCAAATCCTCTGTTCGCTTCTAATCTTATCCATATTCTTATCTTATATCTTTGACCCCACCCCCCCCCCTTAAAGCTTCCTACTGTTCATTTGATCAAATTCTTCTTGTAACTGCTCTAGTTTCTCTCTCTCCTTAGTCCTCTTTTTTTTCTCCTACATATTTTCCTTGCATCTGATCTTTTCTTTTTATAGCTCTCTGCTGAGGTTCTCATTACTCTCTGTATCAATTTCATTCTGCGATCATTTCTTTCTTTGACTGCTTTTTCACGTTCCTTGTTCTACCAGTCGTTTCTTCTTTTCTGCCATATCGCACCAAGAACCTCAGTTGCCATAATATTCAATGTATCTCTAAAACTACACCAATTCCCTTCAATTGACTTTGCTCTTTTTAAGTTTTCAAATCTGTCCTCAATTTTCCTTTTAAATAAATCTCGGGTCTCTTCAACTTGTAACTTTTCTCGATTGTAAATGAATTTTCTCTCTCCTCGGGCTCTTTAGTATGAGGATACTTTCATTTTATATCTAGCCTTAACTAGAATGGTCTGACTCACAGCAAGCACCTCTGAAACTGCGTACTTCTTGTATGTCTGTCGCGTGTCTACTATCTATCAACATGTAGTCAATTTGATTCTGGGTCTTTTCATCTGAATATACCCATTTCTCCTTGTTAATATTCTTGTGAGCGAAAAAGGTATCATTCCCCTTGATGCCACAAAGTCTATGAGACGTATCCCGTTATCGCTGGAGATATCATGCTTACTATCTTTTCCTATAATCAGATGAAATGCGTCCTCCTTTCCAATCTCCTAAGACCAGCTTTACGTCATATCTCAGGATTCCATCCACAATACAGGATTCTCTCTCTAGAGTACCATAAAATTCATCCTTTTCTTCCTCTGGTGTATCTTCTGTTGGCGCATGTACGCTCACCATAGAGAAGTTAAAAATTCTACCTTTCAGTCTTGTCCTACATTTTCTGTCATTAACAGCCTCATAATCTATCACTGTTTGTTTGAGAGTGATTTTTACCATAAAACCAGTCCCCAACAGATTACATTTACTGCCACTATTGAAGAGAGTATAGTTATTGAGAGTCACTGTATCCACATCTTTTCACCTTATTTCCTGTAGGGCTACAACATCCATTTTATATTTCAAGCGCTCCTCTTCTAACATCCTACTTACTCCTAGCTGAAGCATACTTCTAACGTTCCATGTTCCGATTTGTATAAGTTCACTGCATTTAGTGGGTATTAGATACAGGTAATAGTCATTTGATTTTAGACAATATATTACTAGCTCTAGAACTTACATTTAATCTATTGACCATAAAATTTATTAACTGAAAATGGGCTGGGAAATGTTTTTGACCATGAAAAAGCCATCATATTAAATGTTTTTTGTTTTTTTTTTTGCCAATAAAGTTCATTTTCTAATGAACTGTTTCAAATATTTTCAAAATTAATCACTGATTTAGAAAGAGAAATCTATTGTCCAGATGTTTTATTTCAAGGCATTTTTCGTTATTGTGGGCCGTTTATTTAAAAACGATGCATTAGTTTCAACAGATTGACTTTATTAGTATTTTTATTGCCCAAAACAATTATTTTTTTATTTGTTATTGTTCTCCGACTATCCAACTTTAATAAAAGGCCAAATATGATTAAGACAAATTCTGAATCTCTCAATCACCGAAAAACTAACACTAGTCAAAATCGTCAATCTGCCATATGTAAACACCATTTTGGGACAGTGTGTTCACTTTGTTTTTATTCACTTTTTTTTAATAAATGGTTTCAAGGAACACAGCAATATGCAATTTGTAGAGTTTGGGAGAGGGAATGCATGGTAGGAGGGGTCTGGCCCACCGTGTTTTTATATATGTTTTTATATATACATATATATAAATATATGTATTTTACTAATATAAACTAATCACTTCTGTGTATATATATATATATATATATATATATATATATATATATATATATATATATATATATATGTGTATATATATATAAGTTCATTTATTGTCCTAAGGATTAAAGAGTATGCTGTGTATATAGCAACCCAATATAATTGGGCAGCAATCTTTTATATTTTATATTTTTATGAAAATAAAGTGTTTCTCTCTTATTGTTCAAGAACTCTTTTTCCTTTTATTTTTTCCAATCAGAAGATTTTTATTATTTATTTATTTTATGAACAATATAGATTTTATTTTGGTACAGTTTGTTTATATTTATTTTGTTGATATATTTTTAATAGTATTTGAACTATAGACTTTACAACTACATTCTCTTCAAATATTTGGCTCTCGCGTCATTCCTCTCTCTAATTGCTTGAGTACATTCTTCATCAAACCACTCTGTTCTTTCTTTCCTCTGTTTATATCCTAGCACTTCCACAACAACCTCATTCAACATTGTCCTTATCTATTGCCATCACTCTTCAACTTTGTGCTCTTCTTCATTACTTTCATGTGATCTTTGAATGATCTTTTTTTTCAAACGTCTCTTTTATTCTCTCATCCTTCAGGCCATCCACATTTGAAACTCCTGGTTTCTCTTCTGTTTTTCCATTAATTATATATCCTCTGTATATTTAGTTCTCACCAAGAAATGATCAGTGTTACAGTCAGCCCTTCTAAAACTACAGACGTCTAATATATGATTTGTGCCTTTCATCTATTAAGAAGTGATCGATTTGATTTCTAGTGTTCCCATTTGGTGATATCTAAGTTTTCTGTGGATTTCTTAATGTGGGAAACATGTACTGCTTATTTTAAATCCCTTAGCTGTTGCGAAATCAATCAGTTTGATTCCATTTTTGCTTGTTATTTTATGCTTGCTATATTTTCCAATAATAGTGATAAAAGCACTTTCCTTTCCAATTTTGGCATTAGAAACACCCAGTAAAAGGTTTGCATCATACGTGGATAGATCACCATAGACTCTTTCTAGTGCTCTATAAAACAAATCTTTTTCTTCATCTTTATTTTCTGTCGGAGCGTATGCGCTGATATATTGTTAAATTTTCCTCTGATCCTAATGCAACATATCCGTTCATTTATGTTTTTAATATTCATTAGGACATGCTTAATTGAGTACTTGATTATAAAACCTGTCCCTAACAAGTTATTTCTTCTGCCTGTGAATCACGGGAAACGACTAACTCACAGAACCATATTGCTGACAGTTTTATGCAGTGCTCACATTTCAAAGTTATTCTTGATGTGATTTTTCTTGCTTCAGGCATTCTTTCTATGATTTTGTTGTGGTAACCGAGTAGTTTTGATGAAGTTACAATGCCCAGGAATTGTGTGAATGCTCCTGACAACTTTTCTTACATTTGTGGGGAAGTAACCTTTGCAAGTCAAAAACATTCTCTCACCCAGATTATCAAGACAGCATACCATAAATATTTTGGGGTGAAGGTTGGTGAACAAGATAAACCATGGGCTCCATACATATGCTGCATCACATGTAGCTTAACCTTAAGAGAATGATTGAGCAAGAAAGGTCATTGAAAGTATTAGCAATTCTTCTAGGCATGCAACAGGGATATACTAAGTACTGTTGTTTCTTATGTGAGTGGGACAGTCAGGACAGAGCATCTCATTGCATCAGGAAAGGATGGCCTCATAGAGAAGTCCTGACCCCTTAAAAAAAATGTTCTTTACAACCATCTTGTGATCCCTGAAAAAATCATTTTGCCTGCACTACATATAAAGTTAGGATTCATGAAAAATGTTGTCAAAGGAATCAGGAGAGGCATTCAAGTACTTGAAAAGAAAATTTCTTTGCTTAAGTGAAGCTAAGGTTAAAGAGGGTGTATTTGTTGGTCCACAAATCCATGAGCTTCTTAATGACAGGGAATTTTCTAATATTCTTTAGGGTAAAGAAAGAGCAGCGTTTACAGCTTTAGTTAATGGTTTCTTGGATAGCAAAAGAGGGGACAATTATGCATTCTTAGTCCAAACCTTTACCTGCTTGAGAAGTCCAGAGATCTCGGTTGTAACATGTCACTCAAGAATCACTTTCTTCACTCTCAATTGGACTTCTTTCCCGAAAATTGTGGATCTGTAAGTGAAGAACATGATGAGCGATTTCACCAAGATATATCCTTGATGGAATGAAGATATCAAGCTCGGTGGGATACTTCAATGTTCGCAGACCACTGTTGGAATGTTTTGAGGGATTTGCCATAACATCAGTACAATCATCAAGCAAAGAAGAAACATTCTAAATAAACTGTACAACAGCGCTGTTCTTGCCGAGAGAAGTTGTAATTTAATGTTTTGTGAGTTGTAAAAGTATTTCATAAATAACAAAGCACTTTTAAAGCCTAAAAAATGATCGTGTATTTTCCAATATCTTAATTTTTTGTGGACGATACTTGGTATACGTATCTGCAGAACTGTAGCTATTATTATAAGGGTTGTGACAGAAAATTCAAGTTTCTCATTCCAAAATTAGTGAATAGAAACAGTTTTCATCGAATATACACCCAAAAAGAAATTTTGTAGGGCAGTGTAATCGGTCAATGGTAGGAAGGAACGGATAATGAGGTCAACAGACAGTTGCCCCTTTAGTTGCCTTCTACCACAATCTGTTAAACACTATGGGCCTATTCTATTATCCCCAAACCCACAAGGGCTAGAAGATATATAGGGAGAAAGAAGCAAATGCGAGGAAAAAATGACGTTCTGAAGAAAAGATATTGAGCATCTGCATTATCATTCAGTCTTATTTCATGAATATGCTTATAATTCTAATAGATGTCGTTAATTATTTTTATAGGAAGTGATTTTATATTAGTTTATTTGTTTTAGCTAAAAAATTTGGATCTGAAAGAAGGTTTACAATTAATTAAACGATTTTCAAGAAGGAAAACTAATAGTATTGGCTTCTGGAAATTTTGTGATAAGGTCACTGAATTAGCAGCACATACTATTCTTGCCTCTGGTATGGTTCAAAATGTTGAATGTAAGGAAAAACAAAGCATACTCTGTGAATTAATAAATGAATGGGCCCTTATTCATGTACCAAAGTTAACTAAGTGCCTCTCTACACTATGTAACATGGTACGGAAAATTGTTCAAAAAGCTGAAAGTCCCATCCATATTTACATTTTTGCACAAGTCCTACATAAACAGGTACTTTAATTTTAAATTATTTTATATTATCAAAATAACAAAAATTTTGTTTTACTCACTTTAATGTGCATTTAATATTTTATTATCCACCAATATTATATTATATATCTCCTACCCATGTCCACACGTAGACTCCTAGTATCCGCCCTCATCTTCTCCCACCTTGACTACGGCTGCATAGTGTACGGTGGCCTCTCATTGGATCTTGGAGACAGACTGAAAAGAATCATGAATGCTTTAGTAAGATTTGTTAATGGAACCCTGAGATGTTCTCGTGTTTCCCACTACTACCCCGAGTTAGGGTGGCTCTTTCCCTCCTTCAAAAGACAATATTTCATAGGTACATTCCTTTACCAAATAATCTATAATCACCTTCCATCCTACGCATTCAATCTCCTTCAATTCAAGTCATCTATCCACTCTCTCTCCACAAGATCTCGTCCTTCTGACCTTTATACCCCTTTCCTCTGCCTCATTTCAACAATCCTTTATTATCCGCTCTACCACCTTTTGGAGTTGCATCCCACTTAAAATCCGCCATGTACCATCCCTATCCATATTTAAAACCCTCTTATTCCAATTCCTCCTTACAATTCAATCAGACGCTGGGTAGCCATTTATCATGTAACAAAATTGCATTTTTTTCTATGTATCATTTTTACATAAATATATATTCTTTTTTGAGTATGAAAATGATGTCCAGTCACATTCGCTAAGAATTGTTTTTTTTTGGTCAGTTTTTCAATGTATAAGATTCTAAGTCTTTGAGCAGTTTTTAATTGATTAATAATATTGAATGCACTCCTCTATATGTGTATCATCTTTTAGTTCAATCCACAGCCTAGTGTATAGATTATATAACACTTTTATTATGTTTACAATACTATTATTGTATTCTGAAGAGAAGAATAGTTGGGGTGATCAGTCAAATAAGAAGGCAAAAATAAATGATAATATTTATTTTGACATTTGCTGACGTTTCGACCTGAAGTTCAGGCCTTCATCAGGGCTGTCTCCAAAAAGTGTTAACGGAGAAAATGATTTATTTTTGCCTTCTTATTTGACTGATCACCCCAACTATTCTTCTCTTCATTATTCACGACAGTCAACCATTTACCCACAATTATTATTGTATTCATTTGAACACATTAAGGTACAGATGTAAATTATTTATAGTAAATATTTATCTGATCTTTTATTATTATTTTTTTCATAAATTCAATGGGATGACAACACAAGTAATTTATCGTTCATTTCAAATTTCATTTAGTATTCCATAGATTATAGTTTGTAGCTACTATTTTGCTGTATTAGGACCATATTACTCATATTATTTCTTTAATATATCTGTATAGTTTGTAAATACTTCTGTTATTACCTAGTTTTAGTTATTTTTTTATTGTAATGTGTATTTTGGCCAGATGGTATGTTAATTTTTATGTTCAAAATTGTTATTCTTAAGGGACTTTGTCCCAGAATAAAGTTGATTCTTCTATTCCATTCTATTCTATATAAGTGTTATACACTGACAGGCAAAAAATTCCACCCACTTGATTTTTTCATGTTTTCATCTAAAAATATTTCTGCTTTGGATTGGTCTATTGTTTTTAATGAATAAATAGGTAATCTTTTTGTTTGTTTTCAATTAGGAATGTTAATATAGAGGACAATAACCTTAATCCTTAATTCAATGAAATGATTCTAGATTCCATTGTTTACTTTCTGTGGAATCAGAATGTTTATTCAGTATCATTAGTTCAGTGCCGTTTCTTGCAGCACATTTCTTAGTCTCCGGCTTTTAATTTTTTCAATATTAAGTTTAAAAATGCCTCTAAGTGCTGAGGATGTTGCGCGTGGTGTGGCACTTATTGATGATGGACGTTCCATTAGATATGCAGCTAATGCCATCGGAGTTCCATATGAAACTTTACGAGACGACGTCAGGTGTTTTCGGGAAACTGGTTCTTACAATAGAAAGCCCGGTTCGAGGTGTGCAAATTTCTGAATGTACAGCTCGGAGAAGATTAAATGAGTATGGATTAATGGCTTTTCGTCCAGTAAGAGGACCAGAGTTGACCAGAACTCACAGAGCAACACGGCTGGCTTTTGCTAGAGAACACATCCATTGGACTATGGACGAATGGAGTGCTGTACTTTTTACAGATGAGTCAAGATTCGCTCTTCGATCTCCAGACGGGCGTGAAAGGGTGTGGAGAAGAAGAAACGAAAGATATGCAGCCTGTAATTTTTCCCAGAGCCAACCTTTCCAATGTGGTTAATGGTGTGGGCTGGGATTTCGCCGCACAGAATTGGTTGTTGTTCGTAGAGGGTCTTTGACGGCTATTCGCTATGTAGATGAGATTTTGGAACTTCATATGTTGCCTATCCTCAACGAAATCGGCGATCTTTCTATTCTAATGCACGATAATGCTCGCTCACATGTCGCCCGCATAGTGCAGACGTTTCTTCAACAGAACAATATTGAGGTTTTAGGCTGGCCAGCACATTCTCCAGATTTGAACCTCATTGAGCATTTATGGGATAACCTCGGAAGACGAATAAGAGCGCATGCAACACTTCCTACAAAGGACACTAATTACAATTTAATAAGCAGTTAATATGTTTTCATTAATTGTTTCATCGTATTTATTTCAGTTATATATGCATAAAATATCAGGTGTCAACCTTACTAATTTAGATCTTACTGCAATACTCAGGGATCATTATTACTTTTAATATAAGGAATACATAATATTTCAATTGTTAGATTTTTACTGAAAATACATACTGATAATGTGAGCTTTATATCCTAAAACTTAAAAGAATTTAATTGCAATGAGATCAGTTGTTACAGAAATTTACGGTGATGTTTTATATCCTGAATAGGTTTTTATTGTTACGTTTTACATACATCAAGTTTTATGAAGTACATGGGCTTTATACTTAAAGAGCCAGCAATGTTTTTATTAACCCTAAGATATAAAGCTGCAAACCCTTAAAATTGATAGCATTTACTGTCCTTGACAATGAAGTGGACATCAGTTACTCCATGCCCTTGAATTCCTTGTCGAAAATTTTAATTTGTTCCAAAATGTTGACTGAAAATTTATCCAGAAGATAAATGTTTGATAGTTGGCTCTTATGCCAAGCTATCTTCATTGATTAAATTGGCAGAATAACTGATGATTTCATTGGGTGTGGTTTTAAAACTGATGGCCCTGAATTTAATTTTTGTGTTTCAAATTTCGATGATTATGTTTTCACTAAATTGAATTATAAAGCAACCAGGTTAAAATGAAAAAGAAACTGACTACAATTTAAAATTCGGTTGAAAAAAATTTAACTGTGTAATTAACACCTAGTGGTTGTGCCAGGGAAGGTTTAAATTTCCTGCGATATGGCGAGTGGTTGGGGCAGATCTAAAAGATAAAAGATAACACTTAAGCTTTGAGAGGGACTGGTTCTCTCTAGGCCTCTACTTGACCAGCATTCAACTAGCAAGGACCAACGGTGGAGGGCCCTCCAAAGTAAAAAAGATGTAGAATAGTTGGGGTGTTCAGTCAAGAAGGAAGGCAAAAATAAATGATAATATTTATTTTTTACATATGCTGATGTTTCGACCTGAAGTTCAGGCCTTCATCAGGGCTAAGAAAATAACCAGATAACAAGGTATGAGAAACATAAGTAATGATGGTAAAAAAGATAATAAAAAATAAAAAAATTAGAAAAATAAAATAGATAAATATAAAGTAAAATGAAATTGTTAGAATAATGACTAAGAACTAAGAGATAAATAATAAAAACCGTTACAAAGTGTGGAATGATGAAGTAGGCATAATCAAAAAGGGTGACAAAAGTGTTACAATGGGAATCTTAGAATAAAATGTAAAACATAAAAAAGAAATATGAAGTTATATAAGAAATGAAAATAAATATTAAAATTAAAACATTGAGAATGGAGTAGTTAGATAGAAAATTGAGATATTGTAAAGTCTATCAAGATGTACAGACAATGTATAATATAATAAAGAGTTAAAAACAGAGAAAAGGAATGAAAGGAAGGAGGGAAGAAATTGAGAAAGCTGAAATAAGAAAGAAATAAAAGAAGTACTACCTGCCTCCTTAAGTGTCGCAGGGAGAATAAAAGTCGTTACAAGGGAGGGGGAGAGAGAAGAGAGATATAGGTGACGTCATCTCTAACGGTTATCCGACGAAGTTTGAACTAAAGTGCTGGAAGCGTAAATAGGTACGAGAGATATATTACTCAGAAAAATTATGGAAAATTGAACGAAAGTTAATAGAAAGTGAAAGAAAAATTCAAAAGAAAAATAACTATTGAGCAATAAGGGAGAAAAATTGAAATAAAAATATATCATATATACACACACACACACACACACACATATATATATATATATATATATATATATATATATATATAAAGGAAGTTATCAGCAAAAAGGAAAGGAATATAACTATGGATGTTTTAATAAATTCAGAATTTGGGAGTAGGCTAAAGAAAAGTTCTGTTTGTCAGATTTTAGATTCACTGTCTTTGGTTGAAGCTGGATGTGGAGGGTTTCAGAAATGAGTCGTTTGTCATGGTTGAGAACTGTGGCAAGGATGGATGTTTTGTCGAAATCAAATGAATGATTGAGGGAGAGAGAATGTTCGGATAATTTGGAAGCGGTAAAATTACGAGAGGATACAGAATATTTATGTTGGGTTATGCGGAGACCGTGTGTGTGTGTGTGTGTGTGTATATATGTGTGTATATGTATATGTATACGGGTGTGTGTGTGTATATGTATGTATATATACATATATATATATATATATATATATATATATATATATATATATATATATATATATATATGTGTGTATATATGATATATTTTTATTTCAATTTTTCTCCCTTATTAAAACCTGTACCACTACAACCCATGAAGGGTCTGGGGTTCAGTACTATTTAGGGAAAGTACTGTTTCTAGGTCAAC